GTTGATAGAAAACGTTCTTAGAACAACGTTCTTGGAACGCCTTTAGGACGTTATTTGTACTTGACGAATGTTCTTATAATGTTGATAGAAAACGTTCATAGCACAACGTTCTTGGAACGTCTTTAGGACGTTATTTGTACTTGATGAATGTTCTTATAATGTTGATCGAAAACGTTCTTAGCACAACGTTCTTGGAACGTCTTTAGGACGTTATTTGTACTTAATGAATGTTCTCATAATGTTGAGAGAAAACTGTTTTAGAACAACATTCTTAGAACGTTCTTGTAATGTTATTAATATAATTTTTTTAATTAATAATTCATTACTAAATGTTATTATGGTGTTATCCTAAAACATTCTGATAACAGTATTCATGTCCTTATAATTGCAGGCCACTTTATGAACGTTATCATAATGTTGGGAGAAACATCTTTAGAAAAAAAAAATTCTTATAGGCTATAAAGCATATGAATAGAACAGAATATGATATGATATGATAGAAAAATAAAATTTATTTAAATATGAAACTACAACCTCGAGTAGGTGGTGGCAAATCACCTGAATGAGTCACTGAATCTTTTAAAATTATATAATTTATCATTATTAATTATAGCCTAAATATCTTTTATAATTTATTGAAGTCACTTGGCCTAAGTGAATGTCATACACCGTAAAACAGTGACATTTGCTAAATGAAATGAGTTAATTTAACTCAAAAATTTAAAAAAGTTATTTCAACTCAATATACATTTGTGATTTGAACTCAAAAGCTAATTAGGTTAAGCAGAACTCAATCTAAATAAGTTACTATAAATTAGTTTAATCTACCATACAGTCTATGATTTTTACGTCTAAATGGCTGACCACAAAATATTTAAAAGAAAAATTAGCTTAATTCATGATTTCTAACATTGTTTTTCGAGAAGTCACATTTGTATAACATAGGGCTATACACTGTAAACCCCAATGTTGTCATTAATAAAGAAATCAAGTTATCATAACTTAACATTACTTAAAATGCCAAGTTTTGG